AGTTTTGTCCATGGGAGCGTATTTTGTTTGGTTATTTTGCTTGACTCCTACCCGCTGTACCCCATCAACTAGGAGATTATCCAAGTGTCATCCAAGGACAGCGAGCGTTCTCCCATCCGCTCGGGGAGACGCGCCCGGTAGCAGTATCTCTTCTGCCCGACGTGTGTGTGTGTGTGTGTGTGTGTGTGTGTGTGTGTGTGTGTGTGTGTGTATGTGGGTGTATGTATGTAAACCTCCTATAACTTTTGAACGGCTCTGCCGATCGGATCGAAATCGGTGGCGATCCAAAGAGTATCATAGCCATTAAATTTCGTGAAAATTTGAATCGATTCGGTTGGCTAGATTTTTAAAACTCGAAAACAAAATTTTCGAAAAATCGTTTTTTTGGAATAACTTTCAAACGGCTTTACCGATCACTTCCAAAAACTAATAAGCTCTTATCATTGAAAAACCACGTCAATCACCGATGGATCGGTCAAAATCAGTTAATTCGTTCATGAGATATCGAAAACGAAAAATTAAAAAAAATCTTTTTTCAAAAAATCTCTTTAATAGCTTCACCGATCACTTCCAAAAACTAATCAGCTCTTATCCTTGAAAAACCACGTCAATCGCTCGTGGATCGGTCAAAATCAGTTGATTTGTTCGTGAGATATCGAAAACGAAAAATTAAAAAAAAATGTTTTTTCAAAAAATCTCTTAAATAGCTTCACCGATCACTTCCAAAAACTTATCAGCTCTTAAACTTGAAAAGATACGTCGATCGCTGTTGGACTGGTTAAAATCGGTTAATTCATTCGTAAGATATCGAAAACGAAAGATTAAAAAAAAAAAAAAATTTCAAAAAAATGTTTTTCCAATTTTTGAGCTCAAAGAGCTTAAAAGCATAAAAAAATTCATCTTCGCACTTATAGAGCTTAAAATAACATAAAAATTGTATTTTTGAGCTCAAAGAGCTCAACAACATTACAAGTTACATATTAAAATCGTTTTACATATTTTTTTCAAATATCTCCGAATTGGCTGAACCGATCGGTCTCAAAAACTAATCAGCTCTTAACCTCGAAACCCCTCATCGATCGCCACCAAAAACGTCAGAATCAGTTGATGCGTTCGTGAGATATCGTTGTCGATTGCCGCCAACCGCGTGAAAATCGGTTCATTCATTCGAAAATTATTGCCGTTCGAAAATTCAAAAAATTGTGTTTTATTAAACTGCTATTAGAGTTTTGAGCTCAAAGAGCTCAAATTGACACAAAAATAATATTTTTGAGCTCGAAGAGCTCATAAACGTAATGTGTAGTTTTGAGCGCTTAAGTACAAAATGAGCGGGAAGTTACAGGGATGGCCTTTCGGGTCAACCGTCATCCTAATTTTTTTTTTTTAATACCCACCCCCGCAGTTCATATTTAGATTAGGTTGCCATTAATTCCGCTCTTAGATCATTTCTACCTCAGATGTAGCAGATTCTTACCAAATTTGAAGTTTATGGGAACTATAGCTTGGAAATTAAAAATTTTAATTGTTAACACCCACCCCCGTAATTCCCTGTCGGCTGAGCTATCGTAAAATTCGTTCATAAATGATTTATACATCACTTACTGAAAATTCCTACCAAATTTGGAGTCTGTAAGAGCTATAGTTTGAAACTTAAAATTTTTCATTGTTAATACTCACCCCCGCAATCCTCTGTGAGGTGAAATATCGTAAAATTCATTCATATACTATTTCTACATCTCTGACAGAAAATTCCTACCAAATTTGGAGTCGATAGGAGCTATATTTTAAAACTGGAAATTTTTCATTGTTAACGCCCCCGCAAACCCCTTTGGGGGAGGAATTTCTTAAAAACCGTTCTTAGCTGATCTCTACATGGCAAAAATAATATTCCTACCAAATTTCAAGTTTCTAGGTCTGATGGTTCCCGAGATATTGTGATGAGTGACTATATAAATAGGAATCTCATAATAATATAGATTAGGACTCCTATTTCATAACCACCACTGGGTTGACCGACATCATATATGTCCTACCATTCGCAGAATAACGTGTTCTGACTGTATACCAATTTTTATTAAGATTGGTCAAGCCGTTCTTGAGTTATAAGAAGACATACAGACAGACAGACAGACCGACAGACAGACAGACAGACAGACAGACAAAAAAAAAGTCGGATGTGAATCCGCGCATCATAAAACGATTATTTATCACAGAATTAGATGAAAAAATTGAATGTACAAACAGAGTCAATAGATTTATATAGTAGTATAGATTAGAGCGTACAAAAGAATTAAGAACCAACTCGGATTGACTGTTTATTGGGACTGTAAAACCGCATAAACCAGCTGAAGCTCAGACGATTGGGCACTGGAAAGGCACTTCTTACTAAAGCAGGAGTTGATACAGAGACTTTCACCGCCTACAGTCTTAAGCATGCATCCGTGTCGAAGGCATATAAAAGAGGAGTAAACGTGGATACGATTAGAACCGCAGGATGGTCATCCAAGTTCACGGATTTCGCCAATTTCTACAATCGACCGATTCGAAGCTCCAGCGAGAGTTTTGTGCTTACAGTAGCCGATAAGAAGTAAAGATTGTGTAATTTTGACAATCAAGTTATCACTGACTCTGAACTTCTACATGTAATCAATTATTTAATCATCTTCGAACGAGACGCTTAGTATAATTAAACGATCAAGTGAGCCCGCCGAAGGTAGGCGAAGCTCGATCACAATTATGCGTAGCGTCTCGTTCGAAGAAGATTATTACCCTCCCGATAGATATTTTAAGCCCAATAAAAAAAAGAAAAAAAAAAAAAAGAAAAAATAAAATAATAATAAATAAATAAATAAAAGAGACTCTAAAAATATGAGACTGCTTGGGTGCGCGCCAAGCGCTGAGGGCTACTCGCGCGAAAAAGCATTTGAATTTAAACTCTAAACGTTGTGTAGTTGACACGTACTAACAGCACTACATGTAATCAATTATTTAATCATCTTCGAACGAGACGCCACGTATAGTTGCGATCGAGCTTTGCCTGCCTTCAGCGGGCTCGCTTGATCATTTAATTATTATATTTATCATAAACAAAAAGTATTATGGTGTTTCATTTAAGACTATGACAAAAATACAACCCTTGTTGTAAGCCATAAACTCTTCTGAAAAGTATTGAAATGATGGATCTCTGTTGATTGCATAACAATATAAACAAATATAAATAATGCTGTGAAGCGGGAAAGAATAGGAGTTACGGATAATTATTACGTGAAGCGTTCCAACATTTACGTAACAGGATAATTGGTAGGAAAGGATTGTGGAGAGGAACTTCTTAATGTGAGTGTATAGAATATGTGAGAAAAAATTATTAGATAGCTCGGACTGGGATTTAGTCTGATTAATTATGTATGATTTTACTTTGAAATAGACAAAATCACAGCAATTTAATACTTTTTTCAAATTTTTCATCCCGAGTATTTCCTGAAAATTTCTCATTTACCTATCTTTTTATACACTTTGAGTATTTTTAATAAAATAAAAAAAATAAAATATAGTCAGCACTTTTTCATCGTTGACTTGCAAAAAATTCCTGACTTACCGACATTATACGCTCGTTTCACGATCGTTTCACTTACAAACCACTGTGCATTTACCACCGAGTTACGGTTTTTTGATAATTTATATATTTTCGAATAACTGTCAAATGACAGACGATCGATTGATGATCTACGATTTTTACGTAGGTAAAAAATCGGCGAAACCAAGTGAAAATTTGGTTTTTTGAAGAGTGAAGTATGATAACTATACAGAATAAAAATCATAAAGTAACAGTGAAAAACTTCCACAACGATACTCGTCGTTCACTGTCAAATGACGGCCGTTCGATAGTCAAGTGACGGTCATTCGATGATCATTTGTCGACACTGTGAATTCACGATACATTTACCGTCGTTTCACGATCATTTTATCGTGACCACGAATCCGCCAGGGAATTTTCCAACTTAAATTTTGTATGAATTCTACACAAAACACAAGTAACGTGAAATAAATTTCTTTTTATTTTTGAAACATATTTTCTTTGATTTTCGAGTCAAAATTTCGGTCAAGTAATTTAGAAATGACAGGATTTAAAAATTTTCAAAATCATGAAAATTTATATTTCTTCACATTCTTACTCGAAAAACTTTTGAATGGGATAACTCATTGAATCTCTGTAAACTGCATCTGAAAGCTCTTTAAATAAGCTTTAATTTGAGTACCATTTCATATGTGAAGTCTCAAAATGATGTCCTATTCCGCTATGCCAATTATGAAATTTGCGATTGCACTGGTTTTTTTTATGTGAAACATCTATAGGCTCACTAGTAAACCGAATTGTTGGCGTGGCGACACTTGCCGTGGCGAAGGGTCGCCACGCTATACTAAGGTATACATATATATATTTTCTGTGTAGTAGAGTGTACGGTGTGGCAACGGGTCACCACGCTATACTGAGGTATACACATATATATTTTCTGTGTAGTAGAGTGTACGGTGTGGCGACGGGTCGCCACGCTATACTGAGGTATACATATATGTATATATTGAGACACTGCAAAATGTCCCGACTTTATCAGCCTGGCGAACTACCACCCGAAATTTCCGTTACCGACACTAGCTAAATTAATGGGTAGCTCCCGTGACGTCACAGGATGACACGAGGAGGGGAAAATCAGCTACGAACCTCAGAACATGAGCATTGATCGACACTTCGATCTATCCCCGGTGAGAACCACCACGCTAGGTATTTCTTAGTCATTTTTACCACTATACTACTATACTACTATTACTACTATTAGGTGATTATTCACCAGAACCTTAAATAATCTAAAAGTTTATTGTCTAAATAATAATCTAAACTGATATTCCTAATTATCTTCTATCTATATTATTAATTTTATATAAGGTGATTATTCACCACGTTTATTATCGTTACTGTTTAATCAATCATAGTTTTAAGTATAAGTATTCAGTTTATTAAGTATTTCATTAATTGCGTTACCGAGATATTATAAGTCTTGTTTAAAGTGTTATTTTGTGAAATAAAGTTAAATTTATCGTTATCATCGTTATACATCATTACTAAATTACCGCCATTCACTTGTCCATTTGCTATGATCGTTTTATTCAACCGAAAGGGTCAATCAAGGACGCAGAGCATTGTAAGTAAATAAAGCAATTATAACTGGCACACGTGAGAACTTTTGCCAAACAATATAATCATTAAAAGATTAATACATTTAATAAATCAGGGAGCGGAACATCCCCGAACAGCGTATCTCAATTAAACGCAGCGTAAGTGATCATTTACCTATCCGCAAGGACTTGATGACTTAATTAATTGAATTTTTTAAGTAAATAAAAAGTTCAGTGTTTCAATATATATATATATATATATATATATATATATATATATATATATATATATATAGAAATAAGGTGAACAGTTGTCACCGGGTATAGGGATGATAGGATGATAGAGGTTAGTGGTGAGTGATCACCTAGGAAGGATGCTTTGATGAAATAGTAGGAAGAGAAGTTTGATGAAATAGTAGTAAGAAAAGTTGGTGAGTAGTCACCTGTAGATGAAAAGTTTGGTGAGAAGTCACCTGTTAGTGGTATGAAAAATTTTGATGACCCTAACGGTATTGATGACCCCGTGCAAACTCGGATGAAACACGGAGTTTCTGCAGAGTATACTCCGTCATAGAGTTTTCTCGGGATACCGATGGAGTTTAGGCGGTGTTTTAGCGGAGGGAACGTGGAGTATTGTGTGCAGTTACGACACGAGATTCTGACGGCGTTCTGTCGGGTTTTTCTCGGAGTATTGAAAGTGTTTTAATGGATTATTCACGGAATATTGTCGGTGTTCTCACGGAGTATCTACTGAGAATTCATGAAGTATTGATGGAGTTTTCACGGAGTATTCGCGGAGTATCGTCAGTGTTTTCATGGAGTATGCACGGACTATCACCAGTGTTCTAGTGGAGTATTCATGGAATTTTTTTGGTGTTATCGCAGGATTTCATTGGAGTTTTGTCGGTGTTTTCGGGACATATTTCTGATGAAATTTCATTCAAGTATTCGCGGAGTATACACGGAGAATTACCAGTATTCTATCGGAGTTTTCCTATAGTATTCTCAAAGAGTTTTTATTGAAAAAATGACTAATTTATTTTAATTCTTAGTTATATGTAATAGATATTAATAAATAATTGATCAAACGTTGAGAAGAAAGTTTAAAAGCTATACTGACACGCATAAGCATTATACTTATAATTTATCTTGACATGCCGTAGAATATAAATTTCTAGTTTATAGTATTGCGATAGGACTTAATCATTTTTTCAGTGATTATGTCAACTTAATCTAAATAAAACGAACAAGCTCTAAACTTATACGTATTCAACTTGGATTAGTTAGTAACTTGCCGGACTTCCAGTTACAAAGTACTATGTTCGAATCCCATTGTGACCAGTATTTTTTTTTATTAAATATTAATAATATAATTTCAGAGATGATTAAAAAACAATGTACATTAATTATTTCGTCATTACTTTTTATTCTCTTCATTACTCGTTGGAAAAAAATACCAACAATACTCCGTGGATACTCCGTAAAAACATCAGCAATACTTCGTAGATACTCCGTGAGAACTCCTGCAATACTCCGTAGATACCCTACGAAAACACCGAAGATACTCCGTGAGAAAACCAGCAGTACTCCGTGAAAACTCCGTTAAAACACGTGTAATACTCGATAAAAACTCCGATAAAATTCCATCGAAATTTCGTGTTGCAACTGCACACGAAACTCCGCGTTTCCGTCGCTACAACGCTGCTTAAACTCCATCGATACTCCGAGTATCAGCCGAGTTTACTTGGAGTTTTGACGGTGCTGCTTAATCCGCTAGGGGAGAGGATAGGAGGAAAAGTTAGTGAGTAGTCACCTGTTAATTAAAGAATTGGTGAGTAATCACCTGATAGTGGTATGATTTGTGTTGGTGAGTAGTCACCTATAGTGGTAAATGATTTGGAATTAGATAAGTGGATTGGTGAGTAGTCACCTGGAAGTTGGATGTGTGGATGGATTGGTGAGTCGTCACCTGAAAAGAAATTTTAAAATTATAAAAATAAAATTTTAGCTGTAAAGTTGGTGAGTGATCACCTGTAAATAAATAGTTAATTTCATAGAAAGTTTCCTTGAGCAAATGGTCGAAACTTCGTTCTAGACTTCGATCTATTTGCTGGAAAGATAAAAATAAAGTTTCAATTATTAATTGATTGTTGTTTGTTTATGTGTTAGTTTTTTTTTTGATTAGTCTGCAGCTGTAAATAAAACAAATTAAACTGGCAGATATAATTTTAGATGATATGAATGATTTAGTAAATATTATAGTTTTATGTTGTAATAGTATGTTAGATGCTAAATATAAATTTTATAGTAGTAATGGTTGTATAATAATAATAATAGTATATAATATAATACAGTAATATTTCAATTATTGATATGAATGCTGATACAGTAA